GATAAGACCAAGGCCCATTAATGGTCAACATTTCCCTATTGGCCTTTTTTCTTTCATTTTCACCACATTTCTATTTTACAGGATACTTTAGGATGGTTGGAAGTATATGCCATTACTTCTGTCCCTCATGTTAGGGAAGGATGACTGTTCAGTTCAGAAAGAATGTCTTACTATTAGCTAATCCCGATTATAGTAAAAGTAGTTATTTATTTTGCCTCTCAAGTCATCTGTGAGTTCTTACTGAGTGTGTTAGTCAATATCTTCTTTCTGGTCTCCCTCCCATGTCCTCCTCTCCTTTCTACTGTGTCTCCAGACACTCAGAAATTCACTCAGTTCCATCCAGTTTTCAGCTCCATAAAAGGCCTTGGATCCTTTGGGTTATGCAGAATGAAATATCTATAAAAGAAGGTTTTCTCTTGCTAATATTGACCACTTCTCATAGCATAATTCTGGTGTGGTATTATATTGAAAACTCTTTGTCTTTTTTCTCTGTTTTAATAGATATCAAACTCTAGACAGGAGATAAGGAAAGGAGAAGACCCTTTCCTGGCCAAAAATGACATAAACCCAACTCAAACAGCTTTAAGATTAAAAAAGAAAAAGAAAGAAAGAAAGAAAGAAAGAAAAAGAAAGTAGGAGTAAAGGGATGGGGTGGAGTGGAGGAGGTCTCGCGCATGGCTGAATTCGGGAACTTGAATGCTGCCAGAGCTCTTTCTTGCTCAGTATGTTTTGGCTTTGTTTTCCCAAATCAACTCTCCCCACAGAGCTGGAGGTGTAAACTACTGGCTTTGACCAGAGGGGACAGAAAACTTTCTCCTGTCCTCTCTCAAAAAATTCTTGTCAGAGAAATTGGATTGGCTTATTCTGGGTCATGTACTCACTCTTGCGGGTTTGAAAAGAGGGGAAGAGGGGCCTGTTACCAGCAGAAGTAGGTGGGAACAGAGAAACAGTACTCATTGTACTACAGAAAGAAAGAGAAAGTCTGTTTAAAAGGCAAGGTAAATTTAAAAGAGGCTTGTTATAGAATGGAATAGAGGAGGAAGCAGTTTTAATGACTGACTTCTCCATAAATGTTGGTCAGTAACATTGTTGCTGTTCTGGTCCCATTGTTATTTTAGTTACTGAAACTTCAGAATTATTCTCCAGCATGCCCACCATCAGTGTGAAATTACTTATATCTTTATTAGCATGAAAGTCTTCCATATTTATGGAAAGGTATTTCAAAGCAGGTATAGTATTAAGACTTTAAGGTGAATTCATATTGAATTATTATCTAAAAAGAAAAGTGAGACTTCCAGTTTCCAGTTCAGCATGCAGAGGCTTGGAAGTGGCCACTCTGTCTTAACCAAAGTAAAAAGTTGAAGAAAATGAAAAATCATTAATTTATTAGATTCATGAGAATTAAGGTCAGAGGTCAAATTGCTGCCCCCAAAATTAGAGAGACAGTTGAATATACAGCATCACATTTTATCAGAGGAGAAACCCTTGAGGAGAAACCTCCATGGTGAACGAGTGCTACTGGGGTAGGAAAACCTAAACTGTAGTTTCTGAATTGCTGGAGGTTCAATGTGGACAAGTCTAAGAGATAAAAAGCGAAAAAAGTCTGGTTTCAGGGGACCCAGGCACTGTGAATATCAGAGAAAAATCCCCTTATGCTTAAGGCAGGGGGAGGAGGAAAGGAACCATTCTGAGAGCCACAGAATTCCGTTGTTTTTAAGGTCTGCCAACGGGTGAAGCTACTTAACCAGAGCCTAACCTTCTGGAGTTTGATATTAGTGCCTGATCCCTCTGAGGGAACGGAAATACCCAACTCCAGTCAACTCTAGCCACGCTGTTCTACCTAAGGGGAAAAAAATAACTGAGAAACACTTGTGAAGTTCACAGTCAATGGACACAAGCTTGAAAAGACTGAGACCTAATCGTAGGAGTGTAGAATGCTTCTCCTCCCCACAAACCTCACCACCACATTGCTAAAGTCCTGTTTACAGCAATTCCTTTTACCCAGTACATCATGTTTGACTATCAAGAACAAAAGTACAAGACATACTAAAAGGCAAAAAATACAGTTTGAATAAATAGAACTGTCATCAAAACCAGACTCAAATATGGCAGGGGGCTTGGAATTACCAGACCAGGAATGTAAAATGACTGTGATTAATAAGCTAAGGACTCTAATGGAAAAGGTAGACAACCAGAAAGATCAGGTGGGCAGTGTAAGCAGAGAGATGGTATGTTAGTCTCTTTCTTTTGCTTTTAACAAAATCCCTGGATGATTTATAAGAAAACAAAATTTATTGCTTACAGTTCCAGCTGGGAAGTTCAAAGTCCAGGGAACATATCTGGTGAGGGTCTTCAGTGGTGGCTTTACAGCAATTCAGAGTTCCCAGATGGCAGAAAATGGCTGAGAGAGAGAACTTCTCATATGCTGTCCTGTTAAAGCTCTCAGAACCATGCCTACTACCATACTTATTAGTTCATTCTCCAGACATGGTCCTCAGAATCTAATCACCTTTTCAAGGCCCTACCTTGCAATTATCATAATAGGATTTCCCACCCTCTTAACACTTTCACAGTGGGGACTAAGCCTCCAATACATTAAACTTTGGGAGGACACAGTTCAATCCATAATTGATGGAAATTCTAAGAGAACAATAAAGAAGTGCTACATGTCAAAAACACGTGAAGAACTTTTTTGGTGGGCTTATTAATAGGTTGGACATGGTTAAGAAAAGGATGTCTCTGAGCTTGAAGATATCTCCATAGAAACCTCCAAAAGTAAAAAGAGAAGAGAAAAAAGAGTGAAAACAAACAAACAAACAAAAAAGAACAGGGACCCTCCACCCGCAACCAGGCACACCGCTAGTGCCATGGGGCCTTCCTTGGGTCCTGAGGCATGGATCTGGGGACCAGACCCCCTCCCACAACCAGGCACACCACCATTGGCACTACCAACTAGGTATGCATGCCAAAAACATCACCTACATGTGGGTGGCCCACTACAGCCACCACAATAACCACGGCTGCCACGAAAGCAGCTAGATGCCACAACCACAATGCAGATGGTCTGCCAGCCTTTGGAGTGCATTGACACAAGGAGAGTCACCATCAGAGACAAAAGAAAAGAAGAGGCTGTCTCTGTCCACAAAGCTTATTCCATAGTGACAGAAGAAGCATGTGCTCTACAGTAATACTGGGGGACCTGAACACACCTCTCAGCATTGGACAGATCATCTAGGGAACAAATCAACAGAATAACCATTACTCTTTCAAAAGGAGAGAAGAAATCTATGGTAATTAGAGGGGGGAGGGCGAGGGAGAGGGTAAGGGGGAGAGATTGAACAAGAGTATAAAGAATAAGTATGATTTGTTACAATATATATGCTAGTAATATTGATTTGATCAACATGTGTCAATGTCGAATGCCCCAAATATGTATAATCAATTGATTCAATAAAAAGAAAAGAATAAAAACCGAACAGAATATTCAGGAACCATGGAAGAGCTGCAAAAGGTGTAATATATCTATAATGGGAATACCAGAAAGAGAAGAAAGAAAGTAACAGAAGACATATTGGGAACAAGGAGTGAGAATTTCCCAAATTTAATGTCAGACATCCAACCACAGATCCAGAAAGCTCAGAGAACACCAAGCAGGTGTTTGGTGGTGTCTTTTTAGACAACACCAGAGGCATGCCCCATGAACTAAACAAATGATAAGTTGGACTTCATTAAAATTAAAAATTTCTGCCACGTAAGAAACTGTCAAAGGAATGACAAGACAAGCTACAGACTTGGAGAAAATATTTGCAAAAGACATATCCGATAAAAATCTGAAATACAGCCCAGCTGAAGGAGCTGCTTGGAGTCTACACAGTTGTGCTCCCCTAAAGGAGATGACATTGTACCCCACCCTCTGTGGCTCACAAGCCTTCTTCACCTTCTTAGAACTGGAACTGTTGCAGGGGGGGGTGTCCAGGGTTGGGGGGATGGTAGCTGTGCCCTCATCCTCATGCTAGAACTAAAGCTGCACACTCCCTTTGGGGGAATCTTAAACTACCCCTCCCAGTCCACCTGCAGACTGAGCTGAAGGGGTGCATTGCCCCTTGGGAATTGCTGTCTTATTTGAGAAGCTGCTTGGCTGAGCTAAGCAGCTGGGTATTGCAGGGCTGAGCTGATGTTCTGCCTCACATCCTAGGGAAACAGAGCAGTGGCTGAGCTGAGACACCTTGTTCTAGGGGCTGGACAACTCTGGTACTCTGCATCCCTGGAGCTGGACCGTTACCTACAGATGGAGCTGCTGAGAAATCCCTTCCCCCAGGGAGTGAAGTCAGCACTATGCTGCTCCCTTCCCCCCGAAGCCCCAAAAGCTGCACCTCTCCATTCTGGGTTCTTGATGCCACTGCACCTGGCCTCAGAAGACTGAGATAGTGCTGAGTCCCGCCGTTTCAGGAGCTAGAGTCCTCACTACAAGGTGCCTCATCCCCTGGGAACTGAGTGACAACTGAGCCCCATTTGCTGTGGTTCTCAAATTGCAGCTGTACTCTGCTCCCCAGGTCCAAACTTCCAGAGTACCCTTTTCCCCCAGAGTCGAGCTAGTGCTGTGCTCAGCCTGCCAGGGTCAGAGTCACAGCTAACGGAGCCCAAGCTGTCAGGAGGGCCTCAGCTACAGATCCCGGTGCTGTGGGCATTCGACATCTAAACCTGCTACAGAATGTGAACCTGTAACCGAAGACCTAGGTACCCACAATGGGTTTGTGAGACACTGAGCCCTTAAGAGCAGAAACAATGAAACTACTAGAAGAAAACAGAGAAAATGCTACACAAAATGAGAGTAGGCGGTGCTTTTTTGAACAAGACTACGAAGGCACAGGTAACTAAAGCAAAAATAGATAAATGGGACTACATCAAACTAAAAAGCTTCTGCACAACAAAGGACACTATAAACAAAGTGAAGAGACAAGGTACAGAATGGGAGAAAGTCTTTGCAAACTACATATTAGACAAGGGACTAATATCTAAAGAATATAAGAACTCAACAGCAAAACAACCAAATTAAAAAATGGGCATAGAACCTGAACAGACCTTTTTCAAAAGAAGACATACACATGGCAAACAGGCACATGAAAAAATGCTCAACATCATTAATCATCAGGGAAATGCAAATTAAAATCACAACAAGATAGCTTTCTTCAGTTAGAATAGTTCTTATCAAAGGGAGAAAAATAACAAATGCAGGTAAGGATGTTGGGAAAAAGGAACTACCTCATTGGTGGGAATGTAAATTAGTACAGCCATACTGGAAAACAGTATGGAGGTTCCTCGGAAAACTAAAAATTGAACTACTTATGACCCAGCCATCCCACTACTGGGTATATACCCAAAGGAAATGAAGCCAGTATATCAAAGAGACATCTGCACTCCCATGTTCATTGAAACACTATTAATAATAGCAAAGAGATGGGATCTACCTGAATGCCCATCAACGGATGAATGGATTAAAAAAACCTATATTATATATGCGCAATGGAATACTATTCAGCTATAAAACAAAATGAAATCCTGTCATTTGCAGCAAACAT